ATAATTTTATTAATGCTTAGAGAAGTTTATACAGTACTCATATTCACCCCAAAATCCTCCATGATCTACTCCTGAAACACTTTGTGTGTCTTTATTTTCTGAAGATATTATCTCACTGTAGCTGTCTTGATCTTCTGGTTCTTACGATCTGTCTGTCCCTCCTCTCTGATATTCGCTGAGCTTCAAGTGTAGTGGTTGTGGTTGTGGTGTCATTGTATTAATTAGGGTTGGGTATTGCACAGTTGGTTGATCTCTGTGTTTTGACAAGTTGAAGTGGGTTTTTTGTTTGTTTTGGTCTCCATCTATTACAAAGAGAACCCATTTGGATGAGGAATATGAGCTACACTTAGGCATTCATATAAAGATTAATTTTAAAAATGCAGTGAGAGGTTATAGTAATATGTTCTCAGCTAGGTTCCATGGCCTCACCACTTCCAGGTATTTGGCTAAATTTATAGTCCAGGCATGAATTCCTTCCTATTGAGTAGGCCTTAAGTCTAATTAAATGGCTATTGGTTACCTCTAGGATATAAGTGCCATTATTGCACCTGTAGGAATATCTTGCCGTGCTGGTCACTGCTGTGGTTTGTTGATGCTACAAATGGATAGAAATATTGGTTGACTTTCTCTGTTGCATGGTTCCTTCCAGAACTATGAGAGCTAACTCTCATGTGAAGCCTTCACTTCAGTTCCAGATTGATTCTTCCAAGTCATGTGTCGGGAGCAAACTATCTTCAGCAATAATATCTTGCCTTTCTTTCTAGAAGACAGTCCAGGGCAATAGCAATAACCTATTATTTTAGGGTGTTTTGGACCCCCCACCCACCAACCACTCAAAAGGAGGTTTCCCATGCCTGACACTGGGACATTTGTTAGGTAGTCTGTTGTTTGGGTGCATTATTAGCCCAACCAATATAAATTCGATTAAAATTAGATATGTATTATATGTAATTTAGCGAGTAAAGAAGTATGATTCTCTGTTTTTTCCCTGTGTCATTCTTCTCTCCCCCTTTGTGTTCCATTCCCCTTTCCACCATGTAATTCTCCCTCATGCATTCCTTCTTCCATTTCTTCATGCACCTTTGATTTTGCTTCCCAAGTTTTGATTTTTGAAATCAAGAGACAAAAGAATAGATATGCAGAATTTTGTGTCATTACAAACACTCAAAATATCAGTGCTAAAAGAATGATTGCTTATCCTCTCAGTAGTCCAGGAAGAATTGACCAGAGACTTAGAGGAATTAAGGTTACAAAAAGATAGGATTATTCCTTGACTACTAAAGGCTTACAATAGCCTTGCTCATACCTTTGCCGGGATGGGATTATTGTTTTACGAGAACAGAGACAGCTATGATAACCATGGTGCTGCTCAATATCAGTTACTATAGTTAAGTACTTCCCACAATATATCATCATGTCTTAGTGTCCCTAAATTTTATGTGACAGTTGATTAGACCTGATTTAACTCAAACCAGTTAAATCTGCATACCCTGCAGAGTCACTGTGTACATGAAGCACCAAAATCTGAGTCACTCTTCTCGAAAGTGTTTGTTATATTTACTAAGTGATTGATTAATTGAATTCGTTTACTGTCTTGTGTAGAGCAGGGGGAAGGTGTACCACAGTAGACATGGGAAACATGGGAAGGTCAGAGGAAATCAGTTCTGTATTTTCACCATGTGGGATCTGGGGACTAAACTCAGTTTGTCAGGCTTGGTGGAAAGTGTATTGACTCACTCAGCCATTTTATTGATCCAGTGGAAGGTAGGTGTGTGCGTGCGCGCGCGTGCGCACACATGCTCATATTGATTTAGAGGACCTTGCTTTCTTGGGTTCACTGAGCCCTGTGTAGAAGGATCAGATGGAGACCTCCCATTCAGGGCTGAGTGTTCCAAGGTCTCTCAGTCTCTGGCTGTGGGTCTCTGTATTTGTCCCATCTGCTGCATGAGGAAGCTTCTGGTCTACAAGTATAGTAGTGGGTACCCAGGGAGTGTGCACGGGAGCTGGGGTAAAGCAGTAAGTTAAAGGGAAAACTAAGGAGGGGAAGATCTGAGTGATCACTGGAGATGGGGGTGGTAGTCAAGGGAGGCCTCAGCATATGAGCTGCTGCAGAGTTGGGGATACCACTGGGGGACTGGATTTGGAGTAGCTGACCCAGAGGTGAATATCTGTAATCAGCCTACCTGCTTACCTAGTTGGAATCAAATATTGGCTTTTTGAGACTTCCACTATTTAAAAATAATTAGAAACTAAATTTGTCTTTAGTAAAAGGCTCAAGAAAATTGAGAATTTCTATTTTTTGCATTTTAGTCATTTATTTTTTAATTCATTATATTTTGATAGATTTGAGCCTTTCACAATTTATTGCCAATTAAAAATGAAATCAACAATAAGCATAAGTTTAAATTGTAGTTCATTGCAGATTCCCATAATGGCCATTGTTCTATTTTAATATACCATTTGAAGATCTTGGGTGTTATGTGGTCAGCACTACCCAAATAATTAATGTGTGGGAAAATTCTCCTTCAGCAGAAATAGTTACTTCAAGGGGAGGCTAAAGTGCTATTAAAATGAAAAATTATGTAAGACCATTTTTGCTCAAAATGTTAGGTGAAAGTCCTGATTTCTCTAATAAAATGTTGCTGAATAACTGCTGTGTTTATGGCTACTTGACTCAAAATCAAGTGTTGATTCTTGCCACTTGATCAACCACTTTAAAACTAGTGGTCTGCAGGCTGATTCCCCCAAGTAATTGTTCAAAGAAATGGATTGTACAGGAATTTGCTTTTGATGATATTAAGTGGGCTAGTATCAGGGATGTGAGCATTTTAGCTGTTTTGACTTTTGTTCAGGGATATCAGTGTGCTAGCATGAATCTCACTCCATTGTCTTTAACAAATGATGGCATCTGCTAAAACTCAGAAGATTATTTATCAATTAAGGATTATGTCACATATATTTTCATAACTTGTCTGAAATGTGAAAATGTCATCTGAAGAGCTAAATATTTTTCTCTCCATCATCAGCTGTAACATAACAATTTTATAAATGTCTGAGAACTTTATAATCAAGCAAGTTTAATAGTCTATTCTCAGGAGAAAACATTGTATCTGATAGAATAGTATTTTATAAGAAAAGCAAATATCTTAGCTTGGGAGAAAGATGAATTGATTTTTCAGTCTTTATTTACAAAGGCAAAAAGCAAGCCATCAGTTTTAAAACACTATATTGGATATGCATTTGTATTAAAAGAGAACCAGAGTTCTGTTATGACATGTACCTGAGTGTCAGCATGTTTGTTATGTATGAGTGAAATATGTGAGTGTACATATAGTACTATTGTTGTGTCTCAAATTCCCAACTGTGTAACTATTTGACAGATTATATACATTAAAAGGCAATCTTGACATTAAAAAAACTTAGATGCATACTCAGCTTGAAACTTTGTACCTATAGTAACATTTTGGGAGTAGTGAGTCTTATCAGTGGTGATTAGGTCATGAAGAGAGATAGTGACACCTTTCTTTCAGGAATGAGTGAGTCTGATATATGACTGTGTTAATTACTAAAAGGACGGACAGCATTCTGTTGGCTAGTTCAAGTCTCAGAGAATACCAGATTCACAGTGTGTGAATACTGGAACACATTGTTCATTGGGGTCACCAGAGAAACAGTTTCCTATGTTAACATCCTTGATTAATCCTGATAACATGAACTATCCCAATATTCCTCATGAGAAATACTTAAATCTTCTTCAGTTAGCCATGCACTGTTGGGTTCTGGTTAGATGGACTCTATTAGGTTTATTTTTTTTATGTATTAGATACGATTAACTTATCATGGTGAGAAAAGCAGACAGGATCATGTAGGAGTTTTGTTGTTTAGTTTTTGTTCTTTTGAAGGGAGACATAAGGACAAATAAAAATGTGTATTTAAATTATAACATTCATTATAGGTAAAGAAAGTATAGGTTGCCACAAGGGGAGAGAAGATCATGAAATACTTCTGGAATAAGAAGAATTCAAATGAGAGTAGAGTATTAAAACAGTTGGCAAGTAAAAGATGCATTCTAAGTGACTGTGAGATGGGTGAGAATGTGGCACTGAGGACTATAGGGCCATTAAGGAATTGAAAGTGACTACAAACTAGACAACGTGACTACAAACTAGAAAGCCTGGGAAGAGTGATGGATAAGGAGAGGCAGAGCCCTTGGAGCCTTGCTGGCATGAGGGGGAGGTGTGACCAGACATTCCATGGACTGAAGTGCTGAGATTAAACTGGCCATATAACAAATGATGGCACTGTCAGTTTATAAAGATAAAGCTGGTCTCTATGTGGAAAAATCAATGTAGGATTCTAAGAAGGAATATGGAAAGGGCAATTAAGAGGTTATCACAAATATCTAGATGCTGTAACAGTAGTAGAGTAGGCATGGAGATAAACTCATAGTCGTTGGAGTATTAGACAATAGTTGCTTTAGTAGGATGAAAAGAAGGAGAAAAAGATATCTCATAGGTCTCATTTTCCAGACTACATGGAAAGGGTATATGTGGGCGGGGGGAGCATGTGCATGGTGTGTTTATCTGTTTGTCTGTCTCAGCTGTCTAAACCGAGGAGCGCCAAGGAGAACATATAGGAGAGATGATAGACTAAGAAGACGGAATCTTAACAAACCTCCAGTAACTGAACCTTTGACCACTTGAACTGTTTAAAAAGTAAAAAGGAACAAAAATAAAAGAAAAAAAAACTTTAAAACAATATGGTATTACATACATCAAAGAAAAGGTTAAAACAGTTGTTGTCAGCCTTCCTAATGCTGTGACTCTTTGGTCAAGTTCCTCATGTTGTGGTGACACCCAACCACAAAAATCATTTTGTTGCTACTTTGTAACAATTTTTCTATTGTTATGAAACAATGTAAACATCTGTTTCCCAGTGATCTTAGGTGACCCCTGTGAAAGGATCATTTGATCCCCAGATTGAGAACCATTGTTTTAAAGGATGAGGGACTTAACATCAGAGCTAAATGCTAGGAAAGAGTCAATTAAGGTAAGCGATGACAAATACCATTATTGACAGGAGTCGAGCTTCTCCAAATCTTTGGAGAATGAGGTAAGCCGTGGAGAAGAGAACCAAAGGGTGCAGAGAGCAAGATAGTGAAAATGGTACTTCAAAGCAGTGTAGCTGTGAAAAGAAAAGAAGTATAGTAGTTATAAGGTCAAACCCTGGCAGACGAGAAATAACTAAGTGTGGATAGAAGAGTCTGGGAGTTGCTGGTGGGATTAACTCGGAGGGCACTTTTTCAATAATTGCCTCACTGTTAAGTATGTAATTCAAAAACAGCTCCAGCTTATAATATTGAATTTTAAAATGACTTTCCTTATGCTCTTGTTTCCTAAAGAGCAAGAATACAGGTAACAATGTGTGCCAACCATCAAAAAGTCTGTAATATAAGTTAAGGAATAAGGTTGGCACAGTCTCATGGATTTTTACAGAAGACATACGCCTCCTGAATAAGAAACCCTGCTATCATTTACACATGTGTTTAGCACAGTCACCAAGTGCTATTCTGGAAAGGAGTGCTCTAAGTGCTAAGAGCCCATCAATAGCAAAACAAATTCCAGATCTTATAGAGCTGACAGTCTAGGTTTTATGTGAAATATTTTTTCTTCTCCCTTTTTTCCACACCACAATAGTTTCATGTTTTACATTAAACTGAAGGGGAGAAAGAACCAACATTTGTCAAATACTACCCATATATTAAGCATGTTTATTCACATTGTCTCTTTAGTGACTGACAGCCTTCTAATGCAGAAGAAAATTATTCATTTATATAAACAGCATATTAGCTTAAATGTATTACATTTGAAATTTTCAGTTATGATCACACAGGTATATTTGTCTTTGCGATTGACCTGGGATACTGAAGATTCAAGTGATAAGTGGCACTGCTGTGCTAATAGACAGTGACCGTGTGTGCATGTGACTCTCTCTTGTGTATTTTCTTCCCCTCCATCAATGAGCAGTGAGTTCAAAGACTGAAGCCATTATAACACAGATCACCATTTTAAGATTTTGGTCCCAAGCGGAAAAGATGAAATTAAATTAGCTTACTGTTTCAAACCTAGATATCCATGTGTGTTTGTGTGTATGTGTGTGTCTGTGTGTGTGTCTGTGTGTGAGTGTCTGTGTGTGGTGTGCACACACGCATGCATATTTGTGTAACATAATAAAGATGCCCAAGTAAAGAAGGGAGTCTTGGGACTGAGAAGTGCCAGAAGGCTTTAGTGACAGAAATCTGGGTGAGGTCAAAACAGAAATTGAAACAGTAGCACTAGAACCACATTCATGTCTTACATAGCCATCAGCCTTCTTCCTTCTGCTTCCTGCCTTCCTTAGCTTCTGGTATCTGTGTATTTTTACCTGTGTATGTGGGTTCTTTTAGATTATTGTGGAAGGAGGTTTTAAGGGAAAGGAAATTCAGCCATATTCATACTGCTTGTAAAGTAGCAGTGTTAGACTTACAGTGGACTTGTGACCGACTATGTTAATGCTCATAATATTTTGTAGTAGGTTTCCTTGGCCAGATCTTTCTGCTGGGTTTTCCGGGGCATCCTGTTTTATTCCCTTGAGCAGCTGTGACTTTCGGGCTTGCTTTATTGTTGCTGCAGTGTCTCAGCTCCAGTCTGTCTCAGGCTGACATTTTGTTTTTATAGTCTAAACTAGGGCCTGGAAAGTTTGCTTTTGCTGTCACCAGATATGACAGGTATGTAAAGAAAGCAACGTTAAGCACAATTTAAAGACACCATTTTTTTTATCATTACAACATAAAAGCAAACAACAGCTCACTCATACGTTAATGCTTTTCAAGAAACACCCAGTGGTTTTGATATCATCACGAAAGGTTTTTGAGGTTTGTGTTTTAATGATAAGCAAAATGGGTGGGGCTTAAGCTATTTTGCCTTTATGTGTTTAATTAGATTTTCTAGAATTACCGAGTTTTTTTCCAGCTATAAACAATCTCCACAACCATGTACTGGTTGTTTAAAATTCCCTGTTTTTGTGCTACAAGGGATGCTTGGCAAATTGCAGTGTTCAGCAGAATCTTACTCACGTGTATGACCACAATCAAGACTCAGTATCATAAGCTCTTAGTCAATGTTTTGCCAGCAACCAACTGTAGTATTTTATTTGATTGTAATTTCAAAGCAAAAATTAAGCCAATAACTGTGGTTCACATCTACACTTCAGCAGGCAGTAGACTGAGGCAAAACGATTTCTACAAATTAGAGAGCAGTCTGGTCTACATAGTAAATTCTAGGCTTATCTGAGGTACTGTGTGAGTTAGGTTACAAAACAAAACAAACCTATAAGACAAAATAAACCCAAACACCGATGAGCTAACATCTCAGTGGCAGAGAGCAAGAACTCCCTGGCTAGGTTGCTGAAGCTTAGTTAACTACTGACCTTGTTACCATGTGACAGGCAAGTTGATTAAATCCCTCTGTGCCTCAGACTTTCCATCTGTAAAACAGAAGTGATAGGATTGCCATTATGTTTAATGTAACATTGGCACTGGGCAGTAGTCAGCAGAATGTTATATGTACAGTAATTACACAGAAAGCAGCTTTTAGTAGGTATTGGAGCCCAAAATGAACAAGCTCTCGTTAGAGTTCCCCAGTGAGGGCCTGGCCTCTCAGCATTGCTGGCTTAGCAGTTCAGTTTTGCTAGCACCCCTGATTTCATCAGCACACTGTCTTTCAGCGAGGGAACGAGCAAATGAGCTCACAGAAATGACTTACATAAAAGCCACAAGCTCCATTTATAAAACTGACAGAAAAACATTTGAAATAATTATAGAAGTTATTTTCTTGTATAGCAATCATTTTACCTGTAGTTTTGTCGTTCTTTTCTTTGTGTGTGTGTGTGTGTGTGTGTGTGTGTGTGTGTGTGTGTGTTCCCACATGCATGTGGAGGCCTTTGGAAGACACTGGGGTGTCTTCTATTTTGCCTTACTACCCTGAGACAGGATTGGCTGTTCAGTGAGTTCCTAGAACCCACCTGACTCTGCCTTCTATTTCTGGGATTACAGGTATATTTCACTTTACATAGGTCCTGGAGATTTGAACTCATGTCTTTTGGCTTGTAGAACATACACTCCTACCCACTAAGCCTTCTCTCCAGTCCCATTGTTAGCTTTTCTTAGAGATCTCAGCTTCAGTAGATCATGGGGATGAAAGTGTGTGTGAGAGAGAGAGAGGGGGAGGAGAGAGAGAGGAAAAGTAAGAATATGGATATCTCAAAGCCCTGTTATAAATGATAAAAATATCCATTAATTTATTTAATCTCCATTTCTCAGAAAGTTAAGCTTCATTGAATTTCTTGGGTCTTTAGAAGAGTTTAGGTATAACTTGTTCCTTCCTTCTCCCACTTATACTAAGTGTGACCAGAAATCCTTCTCAAAAGTAGGCAGTCCTAGAGGCTTGTTTGGGGACCAGAGTGAGCAACTGTAACTTACATAACTGCCTGGCAAGTCTTACAGTTCTCACTGAGATCTCTTAGGATATTCTCTCAGGTAGCCTTTGAAACTGCAAGGAGAAGAAGTAGAGACCCAGAAAAAGCCTGTCTTCATCCATCTCCACCATATGTATATGACAAAAAAAACTATCTTGGACTTCCAGATCTGTCCAATCACCAGCCTGGTACCACCAAGTGACTGTCAGTCAGCCAGAAAAAGCATTCAGCCCAGCTCTTGATGATCTGATCCACAGGCCATGCTCATACCACGCCATTAGTTTTTGGATGCCTTGCTTGGCTAGGATCACCAATTATGTCTTCTTAAGTCCATGTGATATGCCAGAAGCAGATAGATCAGAGGGAAACCCTGACTTTCCATGGAAGAACTGCAAAAAACAACCCCCCATAAAGAACCCGCCAAAACATAACAAAAATCTATTGCTTTTATTTAATGCTTATGTAATTCTTTCCTTCAAAAGACATAGGAGGAACCCCACTTTTTCTCCCTTGTTCATCAGTGGTGGGTATTAGCTTGGACAAATGAGGGCTGAGGAGTGAACTTCAATATTTCCTTGGTTGGTGTTCTTAGGGTTATAGTTGAGACAACCATTAGTTCTCTTAGTTTACTACGTAGGGAGAGGAGGGAAGGAAGGGGAATCTAAGGTTCTCTTAGAAAGTCCACGGATAACAGAAGAATGAAGGGATTATCTGCAAAAGTTGAGTTGATGAAATTGACATTGCATAACTAGGAAAACATGAGATAAGTAGTAGATACAATAACAAAAATGAAGTGTTTTATTTTTTATTCTTTTAGTACAAGTGAGTTCACAGTTTATGAAAATGAATATCTTTCATATTAAATATGTGGAATACAGCCAATAAGTCAACTAGAATATGCTCATTATCCTATTAGCACATCTCTTGTGGATACATTTACTCTTTGCAGGGGTTTATTTTCCTTTGTTGTGCTTATAATCCATGTTCTGATTGAGCACGCTAGGAATCTAGGATTTCATCATCAAATTATTTGGCTGTTGTGAAGCCTTGCTCCGGTCTTGTTGAGTTGACACAAACTAGACTCCCATGGGTAGAAGGACTTGCAGTTGAGGGAGTGACTCCATCTAATTAGCCTGAGGGGGCATTTTCTTAATTAATTATTGATAGTGAGGTCTTAACCCACTGAGGGCAGTGCTACCCGGGCAGGTGGTTCTGGGTTATATAAGAAAGTAGGTTGTGGTAAACTATGGGGACTAAACCAGTGAGGAGTGCTTTCTCTGAGATCTCTGTTTTGTTTGTTTGTTTGTTTCTGGTCCTTACTTGACTTCCTGCCCCCACTTCCTTCAGGGGCAGTGCACTCATATCTCTTTGACAGTGCTTGCTGGAAGCACCCCGTTTTGACAAGCTTGGAGACTTGGAATCTTTCGCATCACAGCCCCTACAATTCATTTTTCTTCTTCTTCTTCTTCTTCTTCTTCTTCTTCTTCTTCTTCTTCTTCTTCTTCTTCTTCTTCTTCTTCTTCTTCTTCTTCTTCTTCTTCTTCTTCTTCTTCTTCTTCTTCTTCTTCTTTGTTTTTAAGTTTAAATTTAGATTAGAAACAAGGTTGCTTCACAAGTCAGTTCCAAGTCCCTCTCCCTATCCCTCCCCTCCTCCCGTGCCCTCCCCCAACCCCCCATTATCCCCTCATTAAGAAAAATATGTGTGTGGGTGTTTTGTATTCATGTATGTCTGTGCACCATGTGCATGCAATGTTTGCAGAGACCAGAAGAGGGCATCCGTTCTCTTGGGACTGGAGTTAACAGAAGGCTGAGCCACCATGTGGGCTTCTGGAATTGAACCCAGTTCTATGGAAGAGCTGCCAGGACTCTTAACTGCCAAGCCATCTCCCTAGCTCCCATCGCGTGCACATTTCTTAAGTAATGACCCTGGATAATGGGATGTGAATCATCCAGCTTGCTCTCCCCTGGTCAGGATAATTCTGCAGTGGCAGCTGTACTAGTGGTTTTCAAAGAAACCCATGTGCAAACTTTTCCTTAACATCAAGGGCAAGGGACGCTTGTGCCTGAATGTGAGTCTTCACTCCCCACCTTCCAAGAGAATTGATTCTCTGTAAGAAATGTCAGCTGAAATAAACACTGCACTGTGACACTGCTGTAAGCATTTAGTTCATCAAGAACAGAGCACAGAGACCACAGCGTTCTACAAACCATACTTGGAATAGAAATAACTTACAGTATCTCCAGGGTTCCCTCAGTAGTAGGCAGGTATCACTTACTGTGGGCACACCTTGACTCCGAAACTTGCCCTGGAAAACTTTTCTCTCTTACTTTCTGCTCCCTGATTTTTAAAAGGAGCTATTTGTTATACTCACCTTCACAAATGTCTTCATCTTAGTGTCTGCTTCTAGAGAATCCAATAAAACAGGCATTGAGGAGTATATTGGAGGATAAAATTTTCTATTGTAGGAAGACTATCCTAACCAACCTGAAGAATGAGACTAGAAAAATTAATGAGTGCAGGAAGGAAAAGAGATTGAAGACAGCTACAATATGATCTTAGCCAGCAAACATAGGAGTTGGCCGCTTCCATTACTTAGATAAATATTTGCTTCTCTGTTTTTTTCTTTTAAAATCAGCATATATCATGAAAAATAAGGAGGTTGATTGTCATACTTCCCTATATGCAAATGCACATTGATCATATTCTTTCTCTTCCCTCAATTATGCTTTCAAGCCTTTCTCTTCCCTACTGGCTTCTGCATAGGAGTAAAAGTACATGCTACCTGCTTTGTGAGGTTGCTTTTGTTTCCAACTTGCACTGAGATTCCTACTCACATTTATTTAAAGGCCCATTTCACCATTTCCAGCCTCTGCTTTAGTTTAGACCTCAGTTATTTCTGAGGGATTTAGGGCAACTGGTCTACAGTTGAAAAGTCAGAACCATGCTAACACTTCAGTGGGGACGAACTAGGAATGGCAAGTTCCTTCTAATTTATAAACTAAAAGGTCCTCTGGGAAGTTCCTTTAGGTATTAAAGCTCACAGACTGATGCTAAATTCCACCATAAAGACACATAGGCATATCCCAAATATTGTACTAAGAATAAGTAATTAAAGCTCGTGGACACAGAGTTTTCTCCTGCTGCAAATGAGGAAGATGAACTAGATGTCTCCCAAGGTTCCTTGCCATGCTAACATTTTGTGTCCAACTATAGCCATAAGATTACATCAGTGAAAGAGCACAGAACATATCATTCCAGAAGCAATTGTCACTTCTCAAAAACCATCATTCTTTTTTGAATGACCAATTCTCTGGGAAGCTAACCTTTGCCTATCTTTCATAATGATATGTTTACTGCTTTAACTTTGCTTTGGAAATGGGGAACTGTATAATTGGGTTGATAAGGTCAGCATGCCAGAGCCTTGGAGAGATATTGGATGGTATTTGTGACTGTGTATATTTGCCTAGACATGCTTTTTGTCATGTTTATTGTACTTTAATGATTAGCTAGGAACAATAAGCCTGCTGTGTATGCTATTTTATTAATGCACTGTCATTTGTGGGGTTTTCTAAGGTAATTTGAAAATAAGAGAAAATATAATTATTTGAGTATGCTTTGGGAAGAGGTGGATGTATTTATACAATTAAATACTAATATAATAACGCTGCACCCTCAAGACAGAGTTCACCACTCTCTGTAGGTTTTAGAGAGGATGTGTAAGACTGAGTGAAATAGGTTTTATTTTCCCTTCATTTTAAAGGAGCCTGTAAATCAGCAGTTGTGATTTTATTGATCAAGAAAAGCAATTTAATAGTGTGTTAAATCTTCTGCTTATTACTTTATCTCTTGTTGTCCCCAGACAACCCTTAAATACTGAAGTGTTTTGTAGACTCTCTGTTGTACCACTTACCTAGGCAGAAATCCAGACTATGGTGATATTCCTCAGACGCTCCACTGAAATGGAGCTCAGTTCCATTGCCTTTAGTTTTCTGGGTTTAAGTTTTGAAAGATGACCTTTAAAATGATAAGACATGGTAATGAACATGAATCTTAAGGGTATAACTCTGTGAAATTTTACCTGTGTGCATTTGCATAAACACCATCTAGACCAAGATATAAAATGAAGTTTAGACATAGCTTTCCTTTATTGTCTCTTCCTAGTCCAGTTCCCTCCATTTGGAGGTAACCACGACTCTAATGTCTACTACTATGGCTTGATTTTGCCTATTATTCCATTTCATGGAAATGAAATTGTGCATTGTGTCTGGATTCTGAGGTTGAACTGTATGTTACTAGGTTCTATTGCATATATGCACCCATATGCAAACACAGATTTCATACACACATAGTTATATATCTGTATATGCATATATAATTACATATATATAACTACAGTTAGAATATTCCATTGAATGGATTATTATTCTGTTTTTAATGTGTATTTGATCTATTTTCATTTTTTCTGTTACTATAAATTGCTGTGACTTTTGAGACAAACATTTTAGTCATTTTGCTTTTAGTTGTTATAGCTAGAATTGTGATTGTTGGCTCATTCTTCAGCTTCAATAAGTGCTGGCAAAGGGTTGCAAAGTGGTAGTGTGAACTCTTATTCCCACCAGTCATAATGAGAACAGTAGTGCTTCAGCATTTGTTCTGATTTGTGATATTAATGTTTTCGATTTTAGTTAACCTGATGAGTGTGTGTTAGCATCTTGTTATAGTTTTTATTTTTGTTCCTTTGAAGAACATTAGTGGTAAATATGAAACCTTATTTTATGAAGTATAATTCAACTACCTCCTTTGTATATTCTGATGCATATATGAAAAATATATCAAATTTATAAACGTATTTTTATTTTCTGTTGGGTTTCCTTTATTAGTAGTTTCTTTTTCCTTTAGTGGTGTTGAAGAGTCAGCCAGAGGGGCACAAGTACCAGGCAAGCACTCTTCCAGTGATTCTAGTAACAACCCATCCATAGCTCCTAGTGATTTCATTCCTTCCTTCTTTAATTTATTCAGGGTTGAAGTAATTGTTTCATTTAAAGTTATTCCTTTTAGTAAATAAAACTCAACACTGTTTTTCTCTGTAGTTGAGCAGAAAATGTAAATTAACTAAAATGAATTGTCCAAATCCTCCCTTGGAATTTCCGTGTCTTCAAAAAGACAACAGTGGGGTTTTAAACTCGTTACAGGAGACAGATTATTGCATAGAGATGTAAGGTCAGAGAAAGATTGTTGGTGCCTTTCATTTGGCCATCTCCTTCAGACCCCTTTCTTTTAGGCTTCCCCTTAATGATGATGCACACTTGTGCTTTCCAGAGAAATACACGGGGTTTGTGGAGGCATAGATACTCTCTCTTTCCAATTACTAAGTAGGAGAATTATGAATTTATTTAATTCCTAAAAACATCTTGATTATTCAGGATCTGGTTTATTGATTATAGGTCTGTTAGTTCCAATGGCAGGATCCTGTTGCCCCAAACAAGAATGATTTCTGAAAGAAAGTTAGATTCTAAACTCAGAGGAAGAACCATGAGCCCTGATGTTGCTGTGACCTGAGTGTGCACACACCGCTGTGCATGTGCATGTGTGACCTGAGGGTTCAGTCGTGCCTACATCCACTTTGCTCTCTGTGTTGTTCCCATCTGCATCGACTACAGATGGGTTTATGAGGCAAGAAAACACTACAGCTAGCAAGTGTCAACACTCCTATTGACATTCAGTATTCTCTCAAGCATCTCAAAGGGAAAGAAAGAGCTTTTTGTCCCTTTCACTTCAGTGTGTAATAACCCTACTGATAGATGTGGGGCTGTCTTGAGTCATCTGTCAACCCATGTGAACAAAAGGGAGAGAAAAAATCACTATCATTAAGTTCAGGATGAAATGAAGAGGAAAGCCCCCCCCATAGAATAAGTAGGCATGCTATTGCAAGAACAAATAAACACAAGCATCAGGCAGGCAAAAGTAATGATGTTCACTAAAGAGGGGATAAAAGGTGTAACTTACTGTGCTATCCATTGAAAGCCAGAGAATGATTTTAAAGTACCTGGTAGAGAGCAGAGGCACAATGATTATTTGTTGAATTTGAGATACATTTTGCCTCCTGCTTTTGAAATTGGAGCTCTGAAGGAGGATTATGGAAGGTCTAAGGACTGTGAAATGAATTATCAAACTTTTGTGGGTTTCAAGGTCAAAATGACTCTATGTATCAGAACCAAACGCTGCAATGGTTCTCTCTTACTAGATCCAGGGGCATGTTTTGATGTGAAGGCATAGGACCTCAAGTCTCCCACATCATCACCCCTAAAAGGGTTGAAGATAAGGTTCAGTAAAAATCTAGACATTTTTCCAATAAAAGGTTAGAATACTTTCTTCCTATTACCATGGCATTGAAACAATTGATAAGTATGACTAAGAAGCAACACTGGTGTTTTTGAATCATTGCCCTTGGAGTTTAAGTTAATGCTGGAGGAGTAAGCATTTCGCAGAGAATCTGTTTTCTCTTCAGTCCTTATTTTTAGTTGTTGTACTGACTGGTTTTATGTCAACTTGACACAAACTAGAGTTACCAAAGAAGAGAGCCTCAATTGAGAAAATACCTCATTAAGATCCAGCTGTATGCCAGGCATTGGTGGCACATGCCTTTAATCCCAGCACTCGGGAGGCAGAGGCAGGTGGATCTCTGTGAGTTTGAGGCCAGCCTGGTCTAGGGAAGCCTGTAAGGCATTTTCTTTCTTTCTTTCTTTCTTTTTTCTTTTTCTTTTTTTTTTCTTTTTTGGTTTTACGAGACAGGGTTTCTCTGTATTGTTTTGGAGGCTGTCGGTCCAGCCTGGCCTCAAACTCACAGAGCTCCGCCTGCTTCTGCCTCCCGAGTGCTGGGATTAAAGGCATTAAAGGCGTGTGCCACCACTGCCCAGCGGCATTTTTTCTTAATTAGTGATTGATGTTCAAGGGCCCAGCCCATTATGAGTAGGGCCATCATTGGGCTGATGTTCCTAGGTTCTATAAGAAATCAGGTTTAGCAAGCCATGAGGATCAAGCCAATATGCAGCACCCCTCCAAGACCTCTGAATCAACTCCTGCCTCCAGGTTCCTGCCCTGCTTGAATCTCTTTCAGTCCTGAGTTCCTTTGATGATGAACTGTGATGTGGAAGTGTAAACTAAACAAACCCTTTCCTCCCCAAGCTGCTTTTGGTCATGCTGTTTCATCACAGCAATGGTAACCCTGACTAAGACACTAGTCATACACGTTTTCTTGATATCTTATTGAGAAACCTCTTTTTTCTAGGTTTGGTATTTTGTGCAATAAATTACTGTATTATACTCTAAATATATTTTCAGTTATTAAATATGTGAACTGTGAAATTTACTTAATCCATTAAAACTTTTTTGTCACTCACATGTGGTCATTAAGTAAAACTGCTGTTTGCAAGCGGCAGAGAACTGAGCTATCGCAGATACGAAAGAGAAATCTGAATATAATTAGATCATAGTAGATCTGAGACATCTTTGTGTCACTCAGGCTTTGGCATCAGAATCACCTGGGAAGATGATCAAGGAGCAAGCTCACAAGGCACAAGCTCCCAGTGTTTGTGACCTCACAGGGAAAGGTCAGACTCTCCAATTGGAATTTTAGCAAATTCTTGATACTGCTTTGAGCTACACAAAGAGCACACTAAAAGAACTAGATAAGAGGAAAATTCTTTAAAAGTTGGGTATAAGATGATTTTAACTGATAAGCAATATTTACAATTTGAACATACTTCATTTTCCTTTCAAACAGAATCTTTACTGCAAAAGCAATATTAATTACTTCTCAGTTCACGTTTGTAATTAAAATTTGTTGAGAGGGTAGATCTATATATTGAATTAACTTCCTGGAAGTCATGCAACTTGTAGAAAGACAGTATAAATAACAGTTTCTACTCACTTGTTTTTCTGGTGTTTCTCATCTAGAGAAATCTTAACCTTTGCTCTGAGGCTCCCCATATGGTCAGCCTAATGGGATTTTCTCTTTTGCTTGTTTGCTTTTCTTTGCTTGGTGTGTTCTTATTGTGGGTGTACCAGGAATAAGATGCCCCCTCACAGCACTTCCGACTGAGATGAAAAGGGCTAATGCTGAATGCTGCCATTTCTAGCCTGGGTCACCAGATGAGTCAGACGCTCCTGCAAAGGGCTGAATCACAGGACTCTCCTTCGGTTGGTCACGACCAAGGCATTGCAGTCGCCCTACCATAGAAATTAGAATCTGGGGGCAGGGATGCCTTCATTTATAAAAATGTCAGGTCAGTATTGACATATAATAAATCATGCTGAGAGTAACATGGAGGAAGGGACGAAGGCAGAACCTACAGTGACAACTGCACCAAATGATGGCTTTGTGCATTTGTACATCTTAGAGGGAGCATGGCTTTCTATACTCAAGTCTTTGGGGTTTATATGCCTTCTTTTAAGTCCAACCTGTTTTAGAATGGTCTCTCTCTGTTTCTCTCTGTCTCTCTGTCTGTCTCTCTGCCTCTCTCTCTCTCTCTCTCTCTCTCTCTCTCTCTCTCTCTCTCTCTCTCTCTCTCTCTCTCCACCTGCCCTCTGAATTGACATCATTGTCGAGCCCAGTTTGCTGTAGTCCCTGACAGTTACACTTCAGGATGATTATCAGGAAAGTATTACTTAAAAGAAACAATCAATATATTGACTTTTACAATTTATAACAGTTAAATGGACCTTAAAGCTGTATGTTCAATGATATCTTCCATCTACTAGTCATGCTTGGGGAACATGCTACCCTCTGGATCATTCTGAGGTCTCCAAAAACACAAATAGGATATTTTCTGAAGTCCAGTTAATTAGGGAGTTCAAAGTGATGTGTGACTCGAGAGCAGTGGCCTTTTAATGCTAGCTCCCTTTGGCCAGGGCAGGACAGAGACGGCCTGTGCCCAACTCCAGGGGCTAATAATTAAAGAAATGCCCCCAAAGGCTTCAAGACTAATTTTCACTAAGCATATGGAGTGCTAGTAAATATTGTACCATCCAGGTGGGTACTAGCATCTCCAAGTAGCTAACCTAAAAGCTGGACCGTAAATGTCTACAGAAGAGGGTATGTGTGGGAGGCTGACAGGTTTATGCAACAAACATGCTATTTCAGTGCTGCTGCTTCTTGCTGATGTTGTTTTTAATTTTTCGAGACAGGATCTCATGTAGCCTAATGTGACTTCAAGCTTTCGTAGATGAGGGTGACCTGAACTCTTAATCATTTGGCTCTGCCTCCCAGGTGCTGGGGATTACAGGTGACACAGTGCCTGACTTTTTAAGTGTATTTTTCCCTCCAAATTCAATCTTCTCTATTTTCCATATAGATATTACGTATGCTATGTATGTAATGTACAGACATTCCATCTGGAAGCATTTCATGTATACTTCTTTAGAGTTCTAAAGGCGTCATTTCCCCCTTTGGGATACCTTAGGTAACTTTGCTGGGCAGTATGTGTCCCTTATAAGGTCTGTTCATTTGGTCCCTTATCTTCAAAGTGGAAGTTGATTGTCTCATATCTTTCCTCCTCTCTGCGTCAGGGTCATTACACACTGCTTCCTCCTCTAGGGAGGAGATTGACTTCTCGGAGGTCCTGCAGGATCATTATTAAGTGCAGACACACCCACAACTCAGGAGCACAACATTTGGGGCTTGTATAGATGGAGAGGGTAGCCCCTCTAGATGGATGAGGAATAGATTTTTGGATGAAGATGAATAGGGAAAATACTGTGAGGCCTGGGTGCTCATGCTGGGCCTGTCTGTGATCCCCAGTCCCACACCACTGTCCAGCACAGGCGATTTGCTGTGACCTGGTGTCCCCAGTGTGATCAGTATCATCCATTATGATAGAGATGAAGCTACACAAACAGCACCAGTGAAACCACCTTTGGTTTGGAAGGCGGCCATCGTGCCTCACTGACATTATGGCCTTGTGAAACTGTCATGTTTTAACTTGTTTCAGGGAAAAAACAGCAAAGATAATTTAAAAATTTCCTGCTTTGCAAAATCAGTGAGCTTGAAATATATTTTAATTTGATTTTTGAGTTATATATACCATATATACTATATATATTTTTAAATTTGATTTTTCATGTTGCAGAGGTTAAAGACATTTTAATTTTTTAATTTTAATTTTTGATGGGAGGGGCAAGTGTCTTTTTTAATGCCAAGATATTTCTTACTCAGTTGTTGGGAAGACCTTCACTTGGAATGTACAAGTTTTAGGACTGCAGAGATGGCCCAACTACCTGCTTTTCCAGAGTCCCTGGGGGTTGGATTCCCAGCACCCATATGTTGTCTCACAACCCACAGTAACTCCAGTCTGAGGGCACCTGACGCCCTCTTCTGGTCACTGCAGACACTACACGTGGTGCACAGACACAGCCAGGCAAACACTCATACACATAAAAAAAAAGAATTCTAAAAATATTCTTAAGAAGGAATTTATAAATCTTATGCTAAAGATAAATTATGGAAAATTCGACTAGTTTTCCTCATGGGATCTAATTTGTTCTCCCTATTTCAGCGATCAGATGTTTTGTTAAGTACTTTACTACATACTACCTCAAAATTTAAACATGTTTTTTATAATTTTATGAAACTTTGTTTTAAACACAAGGAGAAGACTTTCTAAACAGTTATCTCTTTAAAGAGAAAGATCATAAATTTGAGTGTTCATGTATTTGTTTCTTGGTTCTCATTTTCTCTGCTAGCCCTGGATGGTATCTTAAAATCTCACAAAACAACCCAAAAAATAAGACACACATGCAATTTTACTGAGACTGTTTTTGTGTTGTTTGAGTTAACATAAGATTGAGTATCCTTGTGATGTAGTTGAGGAAAATGGCAGAATCACCTTCCCCCAGATTTAAAGAACACTATGACATCTGCGAATTCCAAGTGATTATTATGTACCAGCACGGTTCGTGTTTGCAGTTCACATCCAGGGGGAATCTGTGAGCCACTCTGAATTTTCCCTTGTGTTCAGCATGTTTTACCTCATAGCTGCAGAAGAAGCAAAGTAATTACTTACAAATAAGTAATTTACTTGCCTAGCAAGGCTTCTGATCACGTTATGGTAGCTTTTATTAAATTTTCCACTAACATAATTATTGCAGGGAATTTCACCACATAAAGCAAACACTTCATTTGGCTCAAGATAATTAAAAAACACAACTAGTTTACACCTGCCTTCACAATCTCCATCCTCCCACCTCAGTGCTCCAGTTCATCTGCCAAAGTGGTAAGAATAGCCACCCAGAATGTATCTCAGCAGAAAGACGCCATGTCCAAACTCAGGAAGGAAACCCCAAACTAGGATGACACTGGGGATGTTGCCATGAGATAATGGCAACATTTCACCATCCTGTGACATTCCCAGCTCTTCTTCAGAATGATTTAGTGCTGTACTATAGTAGACAGTTTGCTGAGTTGAATGGTTACCAACTTTTAGCTCTTCTCTCTTTTTTTTTTTTTTTAGGTGAATGTCAGAATTATCAAGATGACATTCTTGTCTCTGGGACATGGGAAGCTACATGTCCTTAGGAGTTTCCTGACTAGTCGGTTGAATTATAAAGGCTTTAGTGCTCAGCAGGAGCAATGCAGGTAGCCACATCACCAACACCAAGGACAGTACCTTCCTGGGGGGTGCAGGCTTTCCTACTGGGTGTCCTTTGCCATGCCGTCTAAGGGTTTTGGAACAGATTTCTCTTTCAGGTAATCACAGAAACTAAGACTGTGGCCAGCTGTGCGTTAAGTAAGTGGATGGGGAAGGTGAAGAGCCCAGAGACACATTTTTAGTTCAGGAGGATCAAGGTGTCGCCTTGTCCTTTCCATTTCCATTTCCATATGAACCTTTTCCTTTATATTTCCAAGTTCATGATCAGAAGCTCAGTCCTTTGCTGGCACCCCTTACCATATTGGCAATGCCTGCATGGAGGAAGTGTCCTGGATAGGGTAGTGGCTTTCCAAGGCTAGCAGCCCCTAGTGAGTCTGTAGACTGTGCGTTGATCATCAGTGATGGGTCACGATACAATTGTGTAGTTTACACTGTTGTTCCCTTATTGTTACATGTAGGGTTCAGTGAGAGGAGTGTTCTGAGGCTGGTGCTATTACCATGTAAACTATGGTAGAGGTTCAATGTCAAGTTGGAATTTGGTGCTACTTTCTGAATCTTCCACAGTATATATATGCCCTTGAAAGGCTAGCTGCTGCTCTAAAGAATCTGTATGACCAGTTCACAACAGCTGTGGATGAGAGTTAACTAGACTGGGTTGAACATCACCAAGGGTATTAGTTAGGTGTATCTTCTTTTAATTATTTAAATTAGAAACATGCTTGTTTTACATGTCAATCCCACCTGTCTTCCCCTCCTCTCCTCCCCCACCCCTCACCCAATCCCCACTCCACACTCTAGGGAGGGTGAGGGCTTCATGGGGGATCTCCAAAGTCTGTCATATCATCTGGGGCAGGGCCTAGGCCCTCCCCCATGTGTCCAGGCTGAGAGACCATCCCTCCATGTGGAATGGGATCCCAAAGTCCATTCAGGTGCCTAGGATAAATTCTGTTCTAGTACCCAAGGCCCCAAATATTGCCAAGGCCTGCTCACTGACA